GGTAACGAACGGCGGTACGAGACACAAAATATTTATTCACATTTAAATGCTAAAGTGTTCTAACGATAGCCACTTGTGGTTTTCCAGTCAAATATAAAGAAATCACACTGCCACGCTTGAATTCCATCACGAATAACTTTTTTCTGGAGAATTCTCACCAAAATGCTTTTGTTCGCTTGTAAATAATATAATTAGCTGTCACTGGATTAATTTTAGCAGCTGTCGAACGAGTGGCTTAGAAATGAGAGCAGTCTGAAGTTGGTTGCAGTTTTTTTGATCTCACCCTGCACTTTCCTATGTCGGAAACCAATATTTCTAGGTGTTCCATATTTTTTTTGCCCAATCAAACTTATAATACCCGCAAGACATAGGGTTGTAGGATATAGAAACTATAAAAAACACTAAAATTACCAAAACTTTTGTCCGATATACTTTAAATACTTTTAAAAGAATATTTATTTGTATATCAATTTATTCAAATCATAATTTTCCCTTAGGCAACAAAAGAGAAAAAACATATCCGCATCGCAATGGCCTGGATATGACCGCAGTTAAATTACGTTTGTGTTTAAATGTCAGAAACATTTCCAAATGTGTGTGCGTATGGAAACAATAAAACTCAACAAGTTTTTAATTTTCCAAATCATTGGCTGCAAATAATAATTCAAATTATTATTCAATTGCAAAAGAAAACAAGTATCGCAATTTTTGGGCACCCTACACCATCAGAAAATAATTCGACATAATTTAATATGTTTTGTTTTAAATATGTTTTGTTTGCAAGAATTTTTCGCTGTTAGCCTCGTTTTGGTTGCGTCTGCTAAAAGTATTACACCTTATTCTCTTAATAAAAACAGTAGTACTTAGCGGTAAGCTCTTTTGTCTGTCTGCCTTTATCCTCGATTTGAATTTAACCTTCAAAATGCTCTTAATTTACATCTGCTTGTGGATTTTCTTCGACTTAACACTTCATTGATTTGTTCATTTTACACGACAATTACTTTTGTTCGTTCGTTGAAAATGGCTACATATTTGCGCTTATGGTTTTTGGCAATTTTTAACTTTTATAATCTCTAAAGTAAATCATTAAAAGTTTCGAAACATGTTTTAATCATTTTAAACAAAAATTAGCAAAAAATACAAAATATTTTGGATTTTTAGTAATGTACTTGTATGTGAGTGTGTGTGCGTCGGTTTTATGTGGGGATTTATATTGAGTGTTTGAGAATGGAGAATTTAAAAAAAAGTTTAGTTATTTACAATACGGTGGTTTTAAAAGAATAGTACGAATAATACCTTTGCTTTGTTTGTTTTATGATTTAATCAAATCTTCCACATAGGAAACTGTGTCAATACTTCATAAGTGTTAGGTTAGTTAATTATTCGTATCAATTGTATTATATATTTATATTTAAATTTTTACCGATTATCTATAATTTCAAGAAGGTTCGTCCTTGGGCCAAACAAATGATATGTGCTAAATTTCATCTGGATCGGGTAATAAATGCGAACTGTACTTTGTTCACAAAAATACGTGGACAGACGGACGGACGGACATGCATAAATCGACTCAGAATGTGATTCTATGCAGATATCAAAAGGAACTATGGGTCTCGTTTCCTTTTGCCCGTTACAAACAAATGCACAAAGACATAATACCCTGACCTTGTGGTGTAGGGTATAAAAAATATTAATAAGTAGTTCAAAAGTCGAGCGAGGCCAACTATACAGGGTGAGATGAAAAAACGGCAACCAACTTCAGACTGCTGCAATTTCTAAGTCACTCGTCCGACAGTTGTTAAAATTATGGCAGTAAGAGCTCATTATATTGTTTACAAGCGTACAAAAGCATTTTGGTGAGAATTTTCGAGAAAAAAAGTAATTCGTGATGGAATTCAAGCCTGCGAGTGTGATTTCTTTATATTTGGCTGGAATACCACAAGTGGTTATCGATAGGGCATTCCAGCATTTAATTGTCAATAAATATTTAGTATCTCGTAGCATCCCTCTTAACCGTGATACTGGTATCGTGGCCCGACGTCAAGGAAATGGACGGAATAAAACAGCAGCATCAGCAGAAATGGTTCGAAAAGTAAAGAAGCGACTTGACCGAAATCCGCGTCGCAGTGGGCGAAAAATGGCTCATTAGCTGAACATATCGCAATATTTCATTCGGCAAATATTGAAAAATGAGCTCGGTGCGCAGTTATTGAAACTCCAAAAAGTGAAAAAACTTACATCGACAACAACAGAAAGAAAATAGACTCAAAAGACCTAAAAAGTTGCTTCGCTTGTTTGAAAGTGGTGAACTGCCGAATTTGGTTTTCTCCGATGAGAAAACATTCGTCTATGCAAGTCCAGGTCTTTGTATAGGCCCCATCTACCATTACCTCCCTATATTTGGTATTTACACGAGTTTAGGTACAATACTCACCGAAATTGTTTGATATGTCGTATTTAAAATTCGTAATGGATGCTACAGCCTATGACAGAAAATTGACTATGCTGGTCCAGGTCTTCGCACAGCTCCGAATTAACGGTACTTCTTTATATACGACTAGCTGGCCCGATCCGCGTTGCCGGCCTGTAGTTTTAGTCTTTAATGGAAATTTTGCATAGCATAATATTTCACAAATCTAGCTCATAAAGGTGAACAAATTTTAATATAAATATTGATTCGACTAAATAGAAATAAATAACTATGGAAGGAGGGCAAAATAATTTCTGAATAGTCAAAGTTAATTACGTTTTTACACCCTTTACCATAGCACCTCAAATTGTGCATTAGAGTCCCCAAAAAGTCTATGTTCTTGTTCATAGTAAAATTCAATGACGATTAAACAATACCCGCGTTGTTGTCCGCCAATCGGTAAACATAACTATAGATCGGCGGGCCTGGGGACTATATATACCAAAATATTTACGTATGTTGACATTTTTCTGTAAGATGGTTATATACTCACAAAGTAGCCTAAATACAGCAAATAATGGCCAAATCAGTTAAAAAACGTGGCCAAGACCACGGTCACAGCTGAAATCAGGGATACATTTATATGAGTTTTACACCAAAACGTGGGCCAACCAATATTCTCTTGGGGGTTATAAATTCAATAGAAAACAAAATTTTCTTTTCTGACCACCAATTAGATGTGAAAGTGGACTTGGGGATACTCCAATGTGGGGACTTTAGTTAAATAAATTCCTATGTGGCAATTATCTGTATGATGGTTCCCTACCCCAGAGTAGCATAAATACAATTTTTAGCCAAATCAATTAATGAATGTGGTCAAGACCAAAATAGGCCCTACTCTGAAAATTTCAAACTTTATGCGAAGAGGTTCTCTACCTCCTTAGAAACAAAGATGTCAAATAATGGCCAAAATATAAAAAAAGTGACCAAGACACCAAAAATAGCTTAAATCATACGATGGTTATATAAATATGAAATAGGGTTGTACCCTTATCCGTGAGTTATTATCGATATCATGACCTGCAAAAGCGATTTAAGGTATCTTGAATGTTTGGGAAGATTTTCTGAAAGGATAGAAATCCTTTTCTTACTAAGAGTCCCATTCGCTCTACTATTTTCCACCCTTTATATTTGGTATTTTGCTGATTGTTAAAAATTGACAAAAGAAGAATAACACATTGAAAAATCTTCAACTTGTTCGCTAATTTTTTACAGCAAATGCTTAAAGATCCTCATATAGTTTGTCAATAGAATGTACTTCTATTTTAAAATTCGATTCCATTAAATAATTTCGACATCTATTCCGTTTCGCCACCACTTAATTCGGTACTACACTTCCATGTAACTCGCCATCAATTTCATTTCTCAAAAAATCAAGTCAATTAAATAAATTGGTATTAATATTTGAATTCAAAAATAAAATATAAAAAACACTACAAATGTACATTAGAAAAAAGTAAGTCAAAATGGAAAAAAATCATGCAAAATAAAACATTACTATTGTACATTTGAAAAGTCAAAATGAAAATGTTAATATATCACATTTTTACGCGATTTTTTTGGATATTATCCTTTTCAGAAAGGAGACAATTCCGAATTTGTATGAATCGTTAAAATCAGTCCAGCGGTTCTTAATTTATAAGCGTAGTAACTAACACAACTTTCTTTTTTATATATAGATAGATATAGACTAAAAAGTACTGACAACGACAGTTCCTCAGCCCCAAATAAATACTTAGAGGGGGATAGAAAGTCAACAGTAGCTCTTGCAATAATTTTCATACCGATATCTCCTCTATATTGGCAAATACAAGGATTTTAGATAAATCAAAATTGTGGGCGCAAAAGTGGGCGTGGTCTATACTTTTTTCTTTTAAAACCTAACTCGGGGTATGACGAAAGTTTTTACAAAAAATTATGCAAATCGGTCCAGCCGTTTTCAGCTGATTCCGTTACCAACAAACAACAATTGATTTTTATATATATAGATATTTTGATGATTTTTATTCACCATTTATTTCATGTTCCGAATTTGGAATTTGGTAATAACTTATGACAAACAATGCCTTTGTTTTTCCTTGTCGTATAGACCCAAACATAACGGCTATATTCGGTAATTTTAAAATTTTAACAGAATTTATTGAGGATTTTATTTTCAAATTCGTTCCAAATGGTGAAGTCTCTTCAAAGTTCGACCCGGACGAACTTCCTGCTTTTTAACTTGTTTACTTTATATTTTTTTACACTAGTGAATATCACAATTATAAGGATTTTGAGACAACAGATCTCAAAATTTAATTGGTTTGATGGATTGTTCTATCGGGATGAAATTTACTTCGAGTTTATTTGATGTTATTAAAATTATATCTCCAGATTGTAATAATTTTGACCCCCAAAAAATATCCTAGTTTCGTAACCACTGTCATAATTATCAAAAAAAAAAAAAAAAAAAAAAACTTTACAAAAAACAACAATAACTATAACTTCTGGTTGTTGTACATTTTTACGTTTTTATTTTTAGGTTTCCTGTGTTCCACTTCAGCTAAGGCTACCCGCCCAACAACAACAACAACGACGACGACCACGACGACTATGATGACGATGGTGATGTTGATGACGATAAGCCTGATGATGTTACATGAAATGTGAACGGGATGTTGATGTTGGCAAACAGATGTACGCCTGTGAGAGTATATTAACATAAACACACACACAAATACACACACAGGGTTCTACAGAATACCCCTCAACACACACACAAACATTCTACAGGACACTTTACCTATAGACACACTTGCCAGTAGACAATAACAACAAAATATCTACACATAAAACATTAAAAACAACAACAAAAACAAAACTAAAAATCAACGGCTGCAACGGAAATTTAAAAGTTTTGAATCCAAAGAAAACAAAGCAACAATTTTGAAAAGCAAAAAAAAAAAAAAAAAAAAAAAAAAAAAAAAAAAAAAAAAACAACGACGACGACAAAAAATATGTTCATTGTCAGAATGAAAAATTTGTTCGGATTTGTGTTGAAGTGAAGTTAAATTAGTGCCAGAAAAAACGGGGCGACTTAGCTCTTCTTTAAAAGCATTCGTGCAAATCGAGGAAAACGGGACTTAAGCAAATCGTTGCCTAACCGAACTTGGCCTGCCACCCCTGCTTGAGCAATTTCCGTTACTGTTTTTTTTTTCTGTTTCTTGGTATCTGCTAATGACCTAAAGTGTAAGTGACAGCTGTGCCAAAATACCAAAACCATTTAAAGATTTGAAGAATTAAAGCAGCAGCATTTTTCCTCTGCTAATAGGTGAAAAAAAGCTTAGCAGTGTTTCAAAGCAAATTCTCAAGATACCACAAAGTTAAGCTAAAAATAAGAAAAAGAATTACAGAGAAGGTGTAAAACGTGCCCGCGGCAAGAGTAAAAAAAAAGAAATAAACCATACAAGTTATTATCCTTTGTGCTCCACAGAAAGGAGGGAAAATCGAAACACCACTCACCCCCCCTTCCAGCAAATTCCTTTCTTTGTTTTGCGTTGTTTCATTTTTGGCAATTCTCATTAAATTTTACGTCATTTGCCAACGAAGGTGAGAGAAACAAACCAAACCTACGAAAATCAATAAAAGTGTCCGATTCCAGGGAAAGAAACGATTCATTGTCTGTTGTCGCTTTTGCTACGTGTTAATGCTTTGTGATTTGCTCTCGAGCCTTTAGACCGGGAGCAATACCAAGAAAACTTTGGAAAAATTCTTTCGTGTTGGTGCAAGGATCGAAACGAAAACGTCAACATGGCTATGGAATGGATAACGGCTATGGACAAGAGGTAAGTGCGAAACAAAGAAAATATCTTTATTTCACGGGTGGCTGTGTAACCTAATCTTGGGTTAGAATCTCATGTTTTATGCGAAAATTCGACAAACAAGCGTCTTATTAAATAAGCGGCCAAATTCATTTCATTAACACGTGACATTGAATTCTTTTCTAAAAAAAACTTGTCATGGCATTAAAGAGAGGGATTATGGTGAACACGAAGGTAAATGGGCCTTTTAAATGTAATCGTACGTTCATGCGTATACGCGACATTTTATGAAATTTAAGGATGCATAACGTATACGTATACGATTTATGCATGTCCGTCCGTCTGTCCTTCCGTCTGTCCGTCCGTCTGTCCATGTATTTTTGTAAACAAAGTACAGTTCGCATTTACTGCCCTATCCAGATGAAATCATTTGTTTGGCCCAAATCATTTGTTTGGCCCAAGGACGAACCCTATTGAAATTAGAGATAATCGGTCAAAATTAAGATATAGCTCCCATATATATCTTCGTCCGATTTGCCTTTTATTGTGCACCAAACGTGTAATATCAGTACGAATAGTATGGAATTTTGCACGTACGATCAGATTGGACCTGATAATAAATATGCTAAATTTGATGGAAATCGGTTCAGATATAGCTATAGCTCCCATATATATTGTTCATCCGATTTGTTATTTTTGTCCTCCGCAGGCGTAATATGCACTCTGTAACAACAATATTTGGGAAAATATATCAAATACAGCTCAAAAATTCATTTGTCAAATTTTATCGAGATCGGTTAAGATTTGGATATAGCTTCCATATATAACTTCGTCCGATTTACCTTTGATTGTGCACCAAACGTCTAATATTTGTCCAAATTGGATGAAATTTGGCACTTACGACTGAATTGAGTCTAGAAGCTAGTATGTCAAATTTGGTGAAGATCGGTTCAGATATAGCTATAGCTTCCATATATATTGTTCATCCGATTTGTTGTATTTGTTACCCACAACCGTAATATGCACTCCGTAACAACGATATTCAGGGAAATATATTAAATACAGCTCAGAAATATCTTTGCCAAATTTTATCGAGATCGGTTCCGATTTGGACATAACTCCCATATATATTTTTATCCGATTTTAAATTAATTGTGCACAAAATGGGTAATACAAGTCCGAATTTGAAAGATACGAATGCTTCGGCATATTTAGTCATTTGAACTTTAAATTATAATCAGAGCGTGTATGATTGAATTCTCCCATAAAAAATTTTTAATTGTTATGTGCAGCTCTACTAAATTAGCAAAGTGGTGGTGGGTATCATAAAGTCGGCTCCGCCCGACTTTAAGGCTTTCTTTACTGTTTTTTTTTGAAATTTAAACACTGATGTATACAGAAGGCTTACAAAACGTATTCTATATGTATAAGAGGCCAGATTATAGATCTGTATACATTAGATCATGGACGAACTATGAACCAATTTCAGGAAAAAGAGTTTCCAGTTATTTGATGGTCAACAACTGTTAATTATTCTAAAAAATTGCCAAAAAAATTTATGGTTGCATACTCAACATTTTGACCCTTTGTGGGGGAGGTACCAGAGGTAATGGACCATGGGAAATATCGGTCCTTGCCTCTAGTACCTCACCCAAAAAGGGAATACATCTCACAGCCGAAGCATTAGTAGAACTAGTGGGATGTGAGAAATATGAAGAGAACCGGATGCTTATTTCGGATTTTAAGATTTTTTTTATTTGGTTATTCAATTTTTGGTTATTCAAAATGTTGGCGAAGTGTTGGGAAGGTACTAGAAGGAGTGGACAGATATATTCCATGTTTACACCAAACCTTGGGTTAATAATTTTTTTTTGCGGACTCAATACTTTGGCGTAGTGCTTTATAGAGTGGACCGATATATTCCATGTTCGCACCTGACCTAGTATTGATGCAAATATTAGAGTTTGCAAAATTGGAGCAAGATCGGATTATCCTTTCTATTTCTGTGCAATAAAAAATAAATAAATATATATACAGGATGAAATAAAAAATCTGCAACAAAGTCAAACGTCATAATTTTTACATTTCTTTTAAATTTTATTGAATGAAAGCAAAACAATTTCGGAAATAGCATCAAATTTTAGAATAAGTTTGGATTTGTTCGAATTGGTCACCTTTGGCACGAATTATGGCCTTCAGACGGCCAATGATACCGTCACACGCTGCCCGAATGTTGCTCTACGGCATTTTGGCCCATTCCCGGCGAAGGGCTTGCTTGAGCTGATCGACACCATGGTATTTTTTAGTGCCAACCTTGCTTTCCAAAATACTCTAGACATAATAGTCCAACGGATTGGTATCCGGAGATATTGGTGGCCATTTTGCGCTGGAAATAGAGCGAGGAGGCGCGTGCTGAGTGCGATTGTACTGAGTCCTGTTGGAATGTCCAAGATCTTCGGCCAAAATGTTTGCGTGTCCAAGGCTTTAAGACACCCCCCAGAATATTTTCGCGATAATATTTGGCATTTATTCTGATGCCACGGTCGATTAATACGAGCGAAGAGCGACCATTGACTGTTATGACGGCCCGCAACTACACCATGGTGGCCAACCGAAGATGCACTTTTTAGCTGACCTCTTTGGCAAGTAAACACTATCATTTTGTTCATTTACAAAGGGCGAGACAATGTATGATTTTTCTTCAGAGACAACCAAATTCGGCAGTTCACCACTTTCGGCCAAGCGATGCAATTCTTTAGCTTTTTTGAGTCCATTTTTTCTGTTGCGGTGCACGTTCTTGCACTTTTTGAAATTTCAATGGCTTTATGAGCTTATTTTTCAATATTTGCCGAAAATTGCGATGTGTTCAGCTCACGAACCCTTTTTCCGCCACTGCGACGCAGGTTTCCATCAAGTCGCTTTTTGACTTTTCGAACCATTTTTCCTGATGTTGCTGTTTTCTTGCGTCCACTTCCTTGACGTCGGACTACGCTTTCAGTATCACGGTAACGAGTGGTGGTACGAAACACAAAACATTTATTCATATTTAAATGCTGGTGTGCTCTAACGATAGCCACTTGTGGTTTTCCAGTCAAATATAAAGATATCACACTATCACGCTTGAATTCCATCACGTATAACTTTTTTTCTGAAAAATTCACACCAAAATGCTTTTGTACGATTGTAAAAAAGATAATGAACTGTCACTGGAATATTTTTAAGAGCTGTCGGACGAGTGGCTTGGAAATGACAAAAGTCTGAATTATCATCTTCACAGCAAATCTTGTGTTAGCAAAAATGTTGGTATGTGTAAAATTTGAAGAGAGGTGGATGCTTATTTCAATTTCTTTGAGCGTTTTATTTTTCAAAATCCTGAACCCTATGTAGGAAGGTCCCTGAAAATGGTCCGATCTCTACCACCTTTATAACAGCTGTTGTGTTGATAGTAATATTGAGATGTGCAAGGTCCGAATGGAATCAGATGTTAATTTCGCGTTTTATGAGCTTCATGGATATTTAAAATTTTGGACCCTTTTTGGGGAGTACCAGAAGGAGTAGATCGATATATTCCAACTTCACAACAGATTTTTTTGTTTATATAAATAATGGGATGTGTGAAATATAAAGAGAATTGAATGTTTTTTTTCGGATTTTATAACCGTTTTGTGCCGTCAAAACTTTGACCCTTTGGGGGGAGCTAAAAGAAGAAATTTTCTAATCTCTACCACCTTTATTACAGATCTTGTGTTCGTAGGAATATTGAGATTTACCATGTCTGAATGGAATCTTCATATATGGACGGATATTCACAATTTTGAATATTACCTCAGGTACCTCCCCAAAAAGGGTCAAAATCTCAAATTTCAACCTTTGCCGTAGGTGCCAGAAGAAGGATACAGATATTGTCCATATCTGAACTCGGATCTAAGTTTCATAATAATATTACGGAGTGCCGAGTGTGGACCAAATCGGATACTTCCTTCGAGAGATAACGTGCGCACCAGCCAGACGGACGGACATCGGAACCGATCTCGATAAAATTTGGCAAAGATATTTCTGAACTGTATTTGATATATTTCCCTGAATATCGTTGTTACGGAGTGCATATTACGGCTGTGGGTAACAAATATGACAAATCGGATGAACAGTATATATGGGAGCTATAGCTATATCTGAACCGATCTTCAAAATTTGGCATACTACCTTCTAGACTGAATTTGGTCGTATGTGCCAAATTTCATCCCATTTGGACAAATATTAGACGTTTGGTGCACAATCAAAGGTAAATCGGGCGAAGTTATATATGGGAGATATATCCAAATCTGAACCGATCTCGATAAAATTTAGGAAATGTATTTCTGAGCTGTATTTTATATATTTCCCCAAATATTGCTGTTACATAGTGCATATTACGGCTGCGGAGGACAAAAATATCAAATCGGATGAAAAATATATATGGGAGCTATAGCTATTTCTGAACCGATTTCGATCAAATTTGGCATACTTATTTTCAGGTTCAATCTGATCGTACGTGCAAAATTCCATACTATACGGACTGATATTACACCTTTGGTGCACAATAAAAGGCAAATCGGAAGAAGATGTATATAGGAGCTATATCTAAATTTATACCGATTATCTCCAATTTGAATAGGGTTCGTCCTTGGGCCAAACAAATGATTTGTGCAAAATTTCATATGGATAGGGCGAACTGTACTTTATTTACAAAAATAATTGGTTAGGCGGACGGACGGACATGCATAAATCGACTCAGAATGTGATTTTATGCAGATCATCAAAAGAAACTATAGGTCTATCTCGTTTCCTTTTGCCTGTTACAAACAAATGCACAAAGACATAATACCCTGACCACCTTGTGGTGTAGGGTATACATAGAGAAACTCAATGATATTTCCTCAATTCATTTTCCAAATAAAACCTCAAACTCATCTCATTTGTCTAAACTAATGTGGTATCAACTGAGCTAATTTAAACCAAACTAAGAGTAGCCCAATTTTATTTTA